TCAAGGTTATAATTTTCATTAATCCTTCGTTTGTTTTTGTTTCTTCATCTTTGGCATACTGTTCGTCCTCGATGATTTCACTCCATACTATCAATGATATATGCTAGCACTAGTTGTGCCTTTGGGCCAATTTCTGCCCTGAATCGCCTTGATTTCCAGATGATTCGACGGTAACGGAAGTGATGCTGGCGCTATGTGTTTTCATAGCGATCATCTGTGCAGCTTCGGCTATCGTCTACAATATCGGTAAGGAACTTTCCCTGATTTTTAGCCCTATGAAGTACAAAAAGCCTTCGATTTCAAAATTCCATGTTCCATGCTACAACTCCCTAAAAGGTTTGTGGTATCTTAGCCCTTATGAGTGACTTGTTGTAAGCGCGGCAGTGTAAAGGGGTATAAATGAAAAGTAGTAACGTGACATAATGCATTAATCTTGATCAATCATTTATTATTTATTGTTTATTACCCGAAAACGTACCGCAAGTAGGAAAACGTCAAGTTTGAGTAGAAACGAATTTGCTATCAACAACAACAGTCATATGATGTGGTGTTGACGAGACCTTCGGGAAAATGAGAGCGGCAGAAACCACAGAAGGACCAGCTCACAGTAGTGCGCAGATCGTGCAACAGCAAGGTAGAGCTTTAAATACCAAACCATTTGGTCTGTCAACCTTCTGAAATTTGAGCTCACGGAGTAGTAGAACTTGTAATAGGGCCAACTGAGCATCCAGCAGAAAATAAACAAAAGAAGCAAAGTAAATTCGAAAACACTGCATGTGTCTTCGAAATAGGTAAAATAAGAATGAAAGGTTAAAGTTTTTGCGCATTAATCAATCATATCTGAGAGATGCACCCCCGCCCTCGACTTCCTTTCAGAATCGCAGAGTGCGTATGTGACCTATACAATGACTTGTGGTGGCCAGCTGATGGACAACTCAGTGCTTTTGTCCTCTCGGACGAGTCTGGTGCCAATTTACCGACTGGAGGGATGGAAGGCTTGGTTGGCCTAGGCGGATCCGGGATTCGAACCCCTGACCGTGCATTGAGCTAGTGCGCATCTTGCCACTACACCACTTCCGCCCATTATCCCGTTTTTTCTATTTTGCGGCCCCGAACAGTTTTATAGCTCAATCTTTTTCTCCTCAGACCGGGAGTAAATCCCCGGACTATGCTCGCGACAGTGCGCCAGTTGGCACTACGCTTCCACCGTATATTGAATAATGCATAACAGGAAAAATCTGCAGTACTGCAAAGGTTGTAATCAACAAAATATTCAAAAAAGCCGCATCTCCTTGTTTGAATGGGACCAGTTTTTTATTCGGAGGGCGATTCTGAGGATCCATCATCCTTCGCCTACGCTTGAATTGTGCCTCTAATCGCGAAAATTTTCAGGGACGACGGCTGCGAAAGGTTCATTGGCTTATGAGAATATTCGCTACGGAGTTGAGAGGTGGAATAACGACAATTTCGCATACACCGAAATCACTCTTCACATTGTCGCCACAGATCTCTATTATGCTAGCTTCGAAGAGCTAAGTACGAACATTTATCATAGATTTTCACTCAAATCATGGCAAATTACCGTCCTGGGGTTGTGTGATGTCTAACGGAATCGAATCTTCCATCGAATTATTCTCTCTTGAGTAAACAATCTACTACAATGAAAACTCTCTCGAATCACGCTATTTCAAGAAAGTTTCCGCAAAAACAGCGAAGACGAAGTCTGCCTGAAGACGTCTGTTGACAGATCTTCGAGCTAGACCTCTACGAGAATCACCACCCAAAAGAAAAGTCAAGGGACCATCTATTTCAGTGTGTGATGTTATGCAACACAGTGTCGTAGCCGTCCTCATTCCACCATCTGACGATCTTCTTGACGAATCACTGATCAAATCGATGTGCCATCACTTCCAGGTTTCTTCTCCTTGATTTCGACATTTTCTGAGTATTTCTCGCAAAGGGTAGTTTTATATAAGGATAAGACCCGTTTCCAGCAAAATCCTAGAGCAGATTTCCTTGATTGTTATCGGCACTTTCCTTCCCCATCGTGAGAGCTCACCAGCCCTGCGTAAGCTACCGCAGGCAGCGGGAAAACGGGTGTCACGTGGTTTGATGAACTGGGTTGATGAATTTTAGTGAATGTTAGCCCTAAGAGTAGATAAGTAGCCTCGAATGGAAAGGTATCGACGAGACGGGCAGCAGACCACAAGCTCTGTGTATTTCAGGTTCCCTGCATCTCAATGAAAATGGGCAATCCACAAGAGTTTGGTAGGTTTCTGCAGTAATTGTCCTCCGGGATGTTACTTATAGACTTTTTTCCAGTATCTGATTATGTGACGAGCGTTGGTCCACGGCGGGGTTCTGGAGCTCAAGCTACCAGTGAATTCTTGGAGAACCTTCGATGGACATCATTTCTGCTCGCTTATCAGTTTGATACAGGTAAATCGGTACTGTACCGTACGGTATTGATAAGTAGCTACCCACTTTTACTCGGAAATCTGTTTCTTGCTTTGCTTGAAAGAGCTTAACGGCCATGTTGCGATGTTAATCCTTAGTGATGTCGTGGCATACCGGAAAGGAAGGAGCTTGTCAAGAAGACATTTACTTTGAGTGCTCACTCTCAAATTTTCGATCCAAATTAATTATTTTTCAAAATCATGCGAATATGTGACGAGCTAGGACTTTCTTGAAGAGGAAGCTCAAAGGAAATAGAACTACTCGTCATTTCTTAGTTCACTCTGAGTACGGCAATATCCACGGTTCTAAGCGAATGTAAAGCACGTGCTGGCCTAATAATCATTTGAAATATTTGTACGTTGGATGCATCAACTGCTCGCATAAATAGCTGGTGCCAAGTGACCGACATATGAGAGACGATTGAATGATCTGTACGTTTTTATGCCATGGTCCTCCGATGTCCTTTTTCGCTCGGTTACCCTTGTGCCCGGTTGCCCACATATGAGTGATGATTGAATGATCTGTACGTTCCTGTGGCATGGTCCTCCGGGGTCCTTTTCTGCAATACTACGAATTTTTGACTTGTGAAACAACTGGCTACCATTGCTGTAGGGCGTGGGAGCTGTACTCTATTCTATCCCCTAGTTTTGATGGCTGCTAGCCAGCTCGCCGAAAGTTTTTGAGAAGTTCAATATGTCGTTGTCTAAACGACATTGCACAACCTTCACATTTCACAGTATAGCTGAAAAATCGAATTTTCTCAATTTTGGGGAAAATCGCCTTTTTGTCTATGACTACCTTACATTTATGACCCTTGCACTAGTGCAGGATGTGCATGGATAACCCATAGAAGTTTCTCGCTTGGCGATCGACCTTTGCGTGGGAGGCCAAATTTCTCGCCAAAGGTGCCGGCGACAACTCCGCTCTATGTTCTCACGTGTGCCTACCTTCCATGAAGTAATGTAGCTTTCCTATTTTCGCTCAATTCGTAATGAATATTAACACAATCGGCATACAGCCTTTTCGTGGTGATTGTTGTACTCAGTCTGGGAAACCTCAGGCGTCACCTCCATGCATCATCGAATTAGTACATTCAGATCTCGAGGAGTTGGCACCCCTGATTTATGATCGACGTTCTTCGCACAATGGCGGCGTGCGAGCTTCCGTCAAGGTTCGAAAATTGCCGAATAATACTGATGACTACGAGCCATTTCTGAAATACGTCCGAAATCGTCTTCGTCAAACAAACATCGTGAGTTAGGTCTTTGACGGGTTCCAATCAATGTTCATTCTTAAGTGAAATCAGAAAAGCCCACAGTAATGTGAATGAAAAGAGACCATCAATTTGTTTGGAAGTCCACAAGACAAAACTAACTTCGCGAAAGCAGTTTGATCCGCGCTGCAGGAGGGCATGTAGTTTCTATCTTTCAGTTTTAATTTTTTAATTTCATTTAATTAATCAAATTATTAATCTAATAAATTTAATGACCTTTAATTTCTATATCAATTTATATATTCTTTTATTTAGATTTCTACTCTTTTGAGCAAAGTTTCCAAGGTTAGAACTTAAAACTTCCATCATTCATAAATTCACACGTTTTGACACTATACAGAAGGGCTATAAAGTACAATAGGCATCAGTGAATGTTCGTTTCGTGAGCGGCATCTGGTTTGATTCATTCCATATCTCTAGGGATTCCGTTCTATATCTCTAAGGATCAACCACTCGGAAAAATCCATTCGTGAAGTGGCGTTTCCCTTTTCTGAAAACCAGATCAGATCAAATCAGTTCACTGACCTTGCTATGAGGCTCAAAATGGTCTAAAATAAATGCCTTTTGAACATAAGTTATATGAGATATACTTCTTACTTTTTTTCAGAGGAAACATGCCTGTTCTCTAGTTCGTTCAGGTTTCTTACTTGCCGTCTGTGCGTTCCAACTTTTCGGAAAAGATTAATCAGTACAACGCTAAGTGCTGATCCTTGGCATGCATTAATTTGCCACCCTATTCTTCCATCCCTTTCCCTCTACTTACATCAGGACTGAATAGGCCTCTTATGTACGGTCTCTTTAGCAGTTACGAAATTTTTTAGAATTCGCGGTGCACTAGTAGCATTAGCAGCTACTCCATTAGAGAAGGCGATAGATGGCATCCGAAACGACCGGTATTCTGTGTAAGCATAATTGATCCTAAGAGCCGTCTCATGTGCACTACCTACAAATGGTAACAAAGAACGGGGCCAGAATACCTTTACTTGGCTGAGCATCGGAGGGGTAACGTGAAAGTACGAAATCTTATGAATCTTATGATATAAGGCTAAAACATGACCCTGCTAGGTTATTGAAATAGCAGAAGTAGAGGGATCAAAACTCACACAAACAAGCTATAGAAAATGCCAAGAAAGTATTCCACCATTGAACATCCTCCGAATGGAAACCAACCGATTAATTTCCTACGCTCTGAAATTTTCGTTCTTATTCATTACTTTCATTTCGCACTAGCGATTCAGCCCTCGGAATTATTGCACTGCTTTTTAGTAAACAAAGGATAAATTAATTGTT